TTTGGACATGAATTTCGACTAAAAAATCGGTTTTCAGATTATTATACCAGATTAATCTAGAGGGAAAACCATGAAGAAAAAGCCAAGCCTCGTGAAAATATGATGAGATTTGACCGAGTTATGGGGGTGGGAAATTTTGATCTATGTCTATATACGCACCTTGGGGTAAGATTTGGACATGAATTTTGACTAAAAAATCGGTGTTCAGATTTTAATGCCAGATTAATCTAGCCGGAAAACCATTAAGAAAAATACAAATTTCGTGAAAATCGGTTGAGATTTGACCGAGTTATGGGGTTGTAAATTTTGACCGATGTCTATATACTTATCTTGGGGTAAGATTTGGACATGAATTTCGACTAAAAAATCGGTTTTCAGATTATTATACCAGATTAATCTAGAGGGAAAACCATGAAGAAAAAGCCAAGCCTCGTGAAAATATGATGAGATTTGACCGAGTTATGGGGGTGGGAAATTTTGATTTATGTCTATATACGCACCTTGGGGTAAGATTTGGACATGAATTTTGACTAAAAAATCGGTGTTCAGATTTTAATGCCAGATTAATCTAGCCGGAAAACCATTAAGAAAAATACAAATTTCGTGAAAATCGGTTGAGATTTGACCGAGTTATGGGGTTGTAAATTTTGACCCATGTCTATATACTAATCTTGGGGTAAGAAATGGACATGAATTCCGACTAAAAATCGGTTTTCAGATTATTATACCAGATTAATCTAGAGGGAAAACCATGAAGAAAAAGCCAAGCCTCGTGAAAATATGATGAGATTTGACCGAGTTATGGGGGTGGGAAATTTTGATCTATGTCTATATACGCACCTTGGGGTAAGATTTGGACATGAATTTTGACTAAAAAATCGGTGTTCAGATTTTAATGCCAGATTAATCTAGCCGGAAAACCATTAAGAAAAATACAAATTTCGTGAAAATCGGTTGAGATTTGACCGAGTTATGGGGTTGTAAATTTTGACCCATGTCTATATACTAATCTTGGGGTAAGAAATGGACATGAATTCCGACTAAAAATTATACCAGATTAATCTAGAGGGAAAACCATGAAGAAAAAGCCAAGCCTCGTGAAAATATGATGAGATTTGACCGAGTTATGGGGGTGGGAAATTTTGATCTATGTCTATATACGCACCTTGGGGTAAGATTTGGACATGAATTTTGACTAAAAAATCGGTGTTCAGATTTTAATGCCAGATTAATCTAGCCGGAAAACCATTAAGAAAAATACAAATTTCGTGAAAATCCGTTGAGATTTGACCGAGTTATGGGGTTGTAAATTTGGCCCATGTCTATATACTAATCTTGGGGTAAGATTTGGACATGAATTCCGACTAAAAAATCGGTTTTCAGATTATTATACCATTTTAATCTAGAGGGAAAACCATGAAGAAAAAGCCAAACCTCGTGAAAATATGATTAGATTTGACCCAGTTATGGGGGTGGGAAATTTTGATCTATGTCTATATACGAACCTTGGGGTAAGATTTGGACATGAAATTTGACTAAAATTTCGGTGTTCAGATTTTAATGCCAGATTAATCTAGCCGGAAAACCATTAAGAAAAATACAAATTTCGTGAAAATCGGTTGAGATTTGACCGAGTTATGGGGTTGTAAATTTTGACCCATGTCTATATACTAATCTTGGGGTAAGAAATGGACATGAATTCCGACTAAAAATCGGTTTTCAGATTATTATACCAGATTAATCTAGAGGGAAAACCATGAAGAAAAAGCCAAGCCTCGTGAAAATATGATGAGATTTGACCGAGTTATGGGGGTGGGAAATTTTGATCTATGTCTATATACGCACCTTGGGGTAAGATTTGGACATGAATTTTGACTAAAAAATCGGTGTTCAGATTTTAATGCCAGATTAATCTAGCCGGAAAACCATTAAGAAAAATACAAATTTCGTGAAAATCGGTTGAGATTTGACCGAGTTATGGGGTTGTAAATTTTGACCCATGTCTATATACTAATCTTGGGGTAAGAAATGGACATGAATTCCGACTAAAAATTATACCAGATTAATCTAGAGGGAAAACCATGAAGAAAAAGCCAAGCCTCGTGAAAATATGATGAGATTTGACCGAGTTATGGGGGTGGGAAATTTTGATCTATGTCTATATACGCACCTTGGGGTAAGATTTGGACATGAATTTTGACTAAAAAATCGGTGTTCAGATTTTAATGCCAGATTAATCTAGCCGGAAAACCATTAAGAAAAATACAAATTTCGTGAAAATCGGTTGAGATTTGACCGAGTTATGGGTTTGTAAATTTTGACCCATGTCTATATACGAATCTTGAGGTAAGATTTGGACATGAATTCCGACTAAAAAATCGGTTTTCAGATTATTATACCAGATTAATCTAGAGGGAAAACCATAAAGAAAAAGCCAAGCCTCGTGAAAATATGATGAGATTTGACCGAGTTATGGGGGTGGGAAATTTTGATCTATGTCTATATACGAACCTTGGGATTAGATTAGGACATGAATTTTGACTAAAATTTCGGTGTTCAGATTTTAATGCCAGATTAATCTAGCCGGAAAACCATTAAGAAAAATACAAATTTCGTGAAAATCGGTTGAGATTTAACCGAGTTATGGGTTTGTAAATTTTGACCCATGTCTATATACTAATCTTGAGGTAAGATTTGGACATGAATTCCGACTAAAAAATCGGTTTTCAGATTATTATACCAGATTAATCTAGAGGGAAAACCATAAAGAAAAAGCCAAGCCTCGTGAAAATATGATGAGATTTGACCGAGTTATGGGGGTGGGAAATTTTGATCTATGTCTATATACGAACCTTGGGGTAAGATTTGACCATGAATTTTGACTAAAATTTCGGTGTTCAGATTTTAATGCCAGATTAATCTAGCCGGAAAACCATTAAGAAAAATACAAATTTCGTGAAAATCGGTTGAGATTTAACCGAGTGAAGGGGTTGTAAATTTTGACCCATGTCTATATACTAATCTTGGGGCAAGATTTGGACATGAATTCCGACTAAAAAATCGGTTTTCAGATTATTATACCATTTTAATCTAGAGGGAAAACCATGAAGAAAAAGCCTAGCCTCGTGAAAATATGATGAGATTTGACCGAGCTATGGGGGTGGGAAATTTTGATCTATGTCTATATACGAACCTTGGGATTAGATTAGGACATGAATTTTGACTAAAATTTCGGTGTTCAGATTTTAATGCCAGATTAATCTAGCCGGAAAACCATTAAGAAAAATACAAATTTCGTGAAAATCGGTTGAGATTTGACCGAGTTTTGGGGTTGTAAATTTTGACCCATGTCTATATACTAATCTTGACCGAGTTATGGGGGTGGGAAATTTTGATCTATGTCTATATACGAACCTTGGGGTAAGATTTGACCATGAATTTTGACTAAAATTTCGGTGTTCAGATTTTAATGCCAGATTAATCTAGCCGGAAAACCATTAAGAAAAATACAAATTTCGTGAAAATCGGTTGAGATTTAACCGAGTGAAGGGGTTGTAAATTTTGACCCATGTCTATATACTAATCTTGGGGCAAGATTTGGACATGAATTCCGACTAAAAAATCGGTTTTCAGATTATTATACCATTTTAATCTAGAGGGAAAACCATGAAGAAAAAGCCAAGCCTCGTGAAAATATGATGAGATTTGACCGAGCTATGGGGGTGGGAAATTTTGATCTATGTCTATATACGAACCTTGGGATTAGATTAGGACATGAATTTTGACTAAAATTTCGGTGTTCAGATTTTAATGCCAGATTAATCTAGCCGGAAAACCATTAAGAAAAATACAAATTTCGTGAAAATCGGTTGAGATTTGACCGAGTTTTGGGGTTGTAAATTTTGACCCATGTCTATATACTAATCTTGAGGTAAGATTTGGACATGAATTCCGACTAAAAAATCGGTTTTCAGATTATTATACCAGATTAATCTAGAGGGAAAACCATGAAGAAAAAGCCAAGCCTCGTGAAGATATGATGAGATTTGACCGAGTTATGGGGGTGGGAAATTTTGATCTATGTCTATATACGCACCTTGGGGTAAGATTTGGACATGAATTTTGACTAAAAAATCGGTGTTCAGATTTTAATGCCAGATTAATCTAGCCGGAAAACCATTAAGAAAAATACAAATTTCGTGAAAATCGGTTGAGATTTGACCGAGTTATGGGGTTGTACATTTTGACCCATGTCTATATACTAATCTTGGGGTAAGAAATGGACATGAATTGGGGTAACATTTGGACATGAATTTTGACTAAAATTTCGGTGTTCAGATTTTAATGCCAGATTAATCTAGCCGGAAAACCATTAAGAAAAATACAAATTTCGTGAAAATCGGTTGAGATTTGACCGAGTTATAGGGTTGTAAATTTTGACCCTTGTCTATATACTAATCTTGAGGTAAGATTTGGACATGAATTCCGACTAAAAAATCGGTTTTCAGATTATTATACCAGATTAATGTAGATGGAAAACCATGAAGAAAAAGCCAAACCTCGTGAAAATATGATGAGATTTGACCGAGTTATGGGGGTGGGATATTTTGATCTCTGTCTACATAGGATACAAGTTTTGTACATATTGTATATATTTATGTGAGTTTGTGTATGCATGCATGCATGAATGCCAAGCTTATTTTTCGCTGTGCTGCAAATTTAAACAAAACGTTTTTATCAAGTGCTCTACTTCGCGATTCTCAAAAATTTAAGTAAGCTGTTAGTGTAGTTTTTTTTTGGTATTTTTTGTTTTCCTTTTTTTTTTGTAAGTTTGTATGTACCTTAGTATGTACAAGTGTGTATGTATCTTGGTACATATATATATATACATATATGCATGTATGTATTCATGTATAGGCTTTAGAAAGGAGCATATAATTATAGAGGGTATCTTATCTTCGGCGGGCCGAATATAGTCTTGTTCTTGTTGCGTTTCTTACATATGTCCTTCATAGGAGTGCAGAAATTCGCCATCCTTGTAGTTTCGGCTGTCGTATAGATAAATGCCCGCATCGCTGTAGGAGGCGAGAATTTCGCTGCCGCTGTGATTGTAGACCGCGCATGTGATCTGCGTGATCTTCGTCTACACGAAGAGGGGGAATTTCGTCTGTTATTGTTACAAATGTGTGAATTTCAAATTGAGGCTCACATCTTTTAGATCCTTGGGCGTCATTTCGTGTACGGGGCTGGTCAGCTTGCGCTTATCGTAGACGCGCAGCTTGTCATCAGAGCCGCTGACACAAAACTCCGGCACATATGGGTGGTGGGCAATGCTGAACAGACGAACGCGTCTATTGTCGTCGCTGGAGACGCATCGGAGCATTGTCGTGCATGCATTGGTGCGCAAATCAAAATGTTTGACCGCCGCATCCTCGCCGGCGCTGATCACCTCGTGCTTGCTGTGCGGCACCACAACCAGTTTGTGGACTGCATCGTTATGGCTGTAGAGACGTACGGGCTTGATGCTGCTGCTGCCAGATGGCGGTATGACGGCGCGTCGTACCTGGCCGTCACGGCTGGAGGATACGACGTCCAGGCAGCCGACGCTGTCAATGAACTTTGTTTGGAATATGTTCAAGCTGTGGCCAGATTTGAAGCTGTGTCTTGGCCTGCCGTTCGCCCAGTCCCAAACAATGATGCTGAGATCGTCGGAGCCGGAGCAAATGAGATCTCCGGTACGATTAAAGCTCAAGCAATTAACGCAGCAACGATGCATGCTCAAAGCATTCATCAGCTTCATACGCTCGACAACCTGCCGCGAGCCGTAATAGCCCTGACCGAAGCTCAGGGCCGAGGTGTGCCCGCCACGCCATCCAATCCGATTGAACAGGTTATGTTCGCGCCGCATCAGTTCCTGTGCAAAGTTCCAGTTGTAGGACGGTTTCGATTTGCACAGCACCTTGTTAACGGCTATCTCGATTTGTTCCTTATCGGCGGGATTCGCTTCCGCCTCATTGTAGTCGTCGTCCTGCATGGATTGTGGTCACAAAAATATTTACTATTATATATGAAAGAGCTCTCAACTTACGGGAAAAAACATATTGTTAAATATTTTTTAGATTCGTATATAGTTTTTCTTACAGCTCTAGACTACTAAATGCTTTATTCCCAACCGGATTTACTTCTATGCTCTATTGCTTCTGACATTTGAATCAAAATTTTCCTCTTTTTGTGGAACATATTTCATTTAAAAGTTTTGAATGTTTTTAAATGGAAACAAGAGTGCGGATGAGCCTGACAGCAGCCGGGCTTTGTTCTTTTTGCGATACTTTTCATATTGCGAGAGCCTACTTTTAAGGTATTCATGGCTACATGACCATATCGACTCAGCTCTAATGTCCTGAACAAGACAGGCTCCCTTCTGCCTGCTATATACACACAAAAACCTAATATCCTTCATACGCATTTAAAGTATGCGCATATTAAACTGATCCATTGTTGGAATAACTTACGGAATCGTTTTCCTCATTGCTAGACGTGTAGAAGCGGTTCCAGAACGCGCCGCTCGAGTCGGAGCTGCTTTCGTCTAGCAACTGAGCCTCCGGCGAACGAGATTCATCCTCCTCGGCATTTGCTGCCTCCGCTGCCACATCAGCGTCGTCCTCATCCACATCCGCATCATTGGTATCACTGTTATATTGAAGGTCGCTTCCGCTGGCACTGCTGCTGGACTCCAAGTTTGATAATGTGGAGCGATAAGAGCGAGTCCGCTGCGTGCGTGGTCGATTAAATGTACGCGAGCTGGCAGCTGCATCGACGTTTTCGGCATTGCCATCACCATTGTTACGAGCCGTGTTGTTGCGTGCAACATATCCTGGCTCGCCCGGTAATAAATCCAGAAACGGATTGGAGCTTGAACTATCAGAAAATATATCCGGCGGGTTAATAATTGCCGGCTCATCAGTGGAGTCGAAACTGTCACGAATGGGAAATAGGCGTGGAGAACAAGATTCGGTCTCCAAGATTAGATCAGATAATGTTTCGCTCGACGTATCGACCATTGTGTTTTTGTCAGCGTCAGCTGCAGACGCCACATTGCCAGTGCCCAGTTCTGATTCGCTTTTGTTTCTGTTGTTGTTGTTGTTGTTGTTGTGGGTATTTGCGGCCACGTTTGCCTCCTTACTGCGCGTCGGTAAAAATCAATCAGTGTGGTGAAAATATGCAATTGCTGCCACTTACCCAACCAATATTAAGTCCACTTTAGATCCATCAGCAGCAGCTGCTGCTGCTTCTTCGCTGCAACTTTCGTCTTTGGAGTGTGTGCGCTTCAGGCGCTTGCAGGCTGTTGCTGCATCCGGTACACATTCCTCGGCTTCAACGTTCATTATACAAATGCAGATGGCTCACAAGTGAGCGGGAAACGTGCATTAATTTTATCGACCTGCAATCTGGGTACCCCTTACGATTTTTCCTGTGTACGCAGCAAAAATTTTGACGATTGTTTATGTTTAAGCCAGTGATGGCAAATGGACAGAGACAATGATTGCAATTACTAAGGGCTGCGTAAAAAGTTTCTTTAGCAATTAATCGAAATCGATAAGCCTATCGGCTCAGATTTGTTTTGTTTTGTTTGCTTTCGGTGTACTAAGTTCAAATTTAATTTGCCTTTAGTAAAATCTATTATAAATCTATTTTTAAATTTTTATTGAAACATAATGCGGTTACATTTAATATTAATGTGATACACAATCAGTGTTGTCAACAAATTATTTCTAAAGAAACTTTTTAAAAACCCTTTCAAAGCTTAACGATGTTTAAAAAAATGCAAGGAAAATTAAAAAAAAAAAACATTGGACAAATAATATCATGATTCAATAAATAAATATTTCTACCTACTTACCTATTAAAAGCTGCAGCTCTAAAAAAAATGTAACAAAGAAAAGTTATTTTGGTTACTGTTGCAAAGAAACAAAGAATCATAAGCATTACACTAACCGACTTCTTTTAACCGACAGTTGACAACACTCTTAAGGTTGAGTTCTGCTTAACTGCGCTCTTTAAAGTCTTTGTTTTGTTTAGTGCACGCAGGTCGTCTTTTACTCTTAACTTTTATTGAAACAGCGACCGTTGACAACACTGAATACAATTCTTAAGGTTGGCTTCTGCTCTCTTCAATGTCTTCGTTATGCTGAGCGCAAACAGTGCGCCTTTCGCTCTTAACTGGACTTGACGACGGCTTGCTCTGGCTGGTGGTGGTAAGCTGTTCGGCCTCAGTGGCTTATGTGTGTGTCTGAATTCGCAGTGTGGCCGTGGTCTCAGATCGACGATGTTTAGTTATTGGTAAGAGCGCGTGAAAAACGGTACCAATTGTGTTCGCTCGCGGATCTCATATTTTTCTGAAGTACAAAAACACGTCTTGCAGCAATAAAATTGTACGTAAAAACTGATACAACCACTTAATATATATGCATATACATAAAAGTGTAGATATAAAAAGGTTTCTGCTAGCTTGAACATGCCGTGCACGTCAGCTCGAGCAGTGCCAGTGATATTCACACTAACGAATTTTAAGTGCGTAGTCAAATAAATGTGATTTTTAAAGTTAGAGTTGCCTTTCTGCTAATTGACTTTCGACACACATGCACACACAATGCACGGCTGGCTAACCAAACCCAGGGCGCATGCGTAGCCCACAAGCTTGAGCGAATCATTGTTCAGATCAACTGCGTTCTGGGAGTCGCGATCTGGTTTTTTCCTCTCGATTTCTTTTCGCATGATTCGCCGTTAGCTCTTGTGAGCGAAGATGATTTCGGTTTCAGTCAAAACAAAGAAAATAGGCAAACAAAACAAAATGTTAAATTCCAACTTATTTTTAGCTTTTGCAAGTGCATATTGATGCCATGTACATACAATATTCTTATCATTTTGTTGTTATTTGTCCAACAATACAACTGATAGCAATTTATTGTCTAGCTCCGGAGCAAAAAATCGGGATAGATGTCAACAGTTGAGTCCTCATGAATCATGCCTTCAGCTCACATGCAATTGTGCCGGCTATCATAAGAATCTGCCTGCATGACTGTAAAGGGTATATGAGCGAAAGTTGAGAATCAGGTTTCTCAGCCCACGTACTGATACTTTTTTTAATTGCCTCACCAGGCCCGGCCAGGCCCATACAAGTGCTAAAAACATAAGAAACTGTTTTACTGAACAGGAAATACCGTGTGCCCAGCTATCGTTATTTTAAAAATACAGGCCAAAAGGAGAAAAAAATATTGGTATTAGTACAACTTCCCACTATTTCTGATATACGTGCTGCGAAACCCATTATATTCAGTATGAAAACCATTACATTACATACATTAACAGCAAAAAAAAACCCTTTTACTACATTTGCATTTAAAATTGTAAACATGGTCGTAAAATGTTAAGCTCTAGAGTTTGTCTTGGTGATTCACTGCCGAGATCAGTGCATATAAGAATCGCCTTTCACTTTTCTGCGTCTTCTCAGAAAGTCGTGCTCAATTGAGCTTAATTAAATGTATCTGGCAGATACAATATGCTTTAGATCTATGATGTATACACACGTAAAGACACAAACAACAGCACATTTCTTTAAAGCGGCACCCGCTCATTTCTGATTTGTTCTCTGTTTGTTGGCTAAGTGTAGATGCACATGCTCATGGCGCAGGGCGGACCAATTGCTGGGAGGGCGCTGCTGTCCCTTTTGCTGGCATTTGTTTCGGGCACATTGTGGGCTTCAGTAGCCGCCAGGACAGGTGAGTGCTTGTGGTTGACCGCGAAGGGGCTGTAAATTAACCATCTCTCTTGCCCATTCCAGGACCCACACACAACAAGGTGGTCGTTTGCTACATATCCACATGGGCGGTGTATCGACCCGGACAGGGCGCTTATTCCATAGAAAATTTCGATCCGAACCTCTGCACACATGCTGTCTATGCTTTCGCTGGCCTGGACATCACGCAGTCGGCCATCAAATCGTTAGGTAAAATACAAATAAAAATATGCATAATATGCAAATTATTATTTACCATATGTTGTTTATACAGACCCCTGGCAGGACCTGCAAGAGGAGTACGGCAAGGGTGGCTATGAGCGCTTGACGGGCTTGAAACGCAGCCATCCGCATCTGAAGGTCAGCCTGGCCATCGGTGGCTGGAACGAGGGCTCGAAGAACTACTCTACTTTGGTGGCCAATCCGCAGCAGCGCGGCCATTTTGTAAAACAGGTGACGGGCTTTGTGCGCAAATACAACTTCGATGGCTTGGATCTGGACTGGGAGTATCCCACGCAGCGCGGTGGCAGCCCGCAGGATCGCGAGAACTTTGTTGCCCTGACCAAGGAACTGCGTGAGGAGTTTGACAATTATGGCCTGCTATTGACCTCGGCAATTGGCGCCTCCAAGAATGTAATCGATCAGGCCTACGATGTGCCCCAAATCGCTCGTTATCTCGATTTCTTGCACATCATGTGCTACGATTATCACGGCAGCTGGGACCAGAAAATTGGATACAATGCTCCAATGACGGCGGCCCCTGTGGATCCATTGAGTGTGGTATGTCTGCAAAATATATGTTGTTTAGCATTCATATTATTATTTAATACCTTTAGCAATACAGCATCGATTATCTTCTGAAGCTGGGTGCTCCGCCGGCCAAGCTGGTGTTAGGTCTGCCCTTCTACGGGCGCACCTTTAAGACTGTGTCCCAGGGCAATGTAGATGATGCCAGTGATGGTGTCGGCTTCCGTGGTCCATTTACCCGTGAGGATGGGTTCTTAGGCTACAACGAGATCTGCAGTATATTGAGCAATAAAACATCGGGCTGGTCCACAACGTGGGATGGAGCAACCAGCCAAGTGGTAGCCCGCTCGGAGCGCAATGTTTTCACCCAAGACGTGAGCGTTGTCACCTTTGACAGCTCACGTTCTATCGCCAACAAGGTGAAGTTCGCCATAAAGAAGCGGTTGGCTGGCGTTATGGTTTGGTCTGTCGACACCGACGACTTCTTGGGCAAATGTGAGCCGGACGAGGACACCTATAACGATTTCAGACTTGTAAAGACTGCACCAAGGCGACTCAATCAGAATTATCCTCTGCTGCGCACCATTAATGAGGCAACCTCACTCGCCCTAGAGGAGCTGGCGGCCGACGAGGTGGTCGTTCCGGATGACTCCGAAAACGAAATACCTCATGGCAGCATTGCGGATCGTAAGAATTCTGCGGCGACCCTGGTAAGCTTAGGTCTAATGATTAGCTCTGTTTTCGCGCTGTTGCACAGTTTGCAACATTGAAAAGTCTAACAAGTGCCTTAGTTTTTATTATATTTTTGTTTCAACTGCAGTTAAGCTGTCAGTTTTAGTCTCCCATAATAAAAGACCAACAATATTAAATTTAAACAAATCTATTGCATACTTTCTTATGGAGCGCGCCTTTGCACGTACTCAATACTTCTGAAAAAGTATCGTTGAGTGCGCTTGTTTACGCTGCCAGCCCTCGCAGTATCGATAGCCACTCGATATACATATGGTTGAATTTAAACAGTTATTTAGTAAAATGCTGGTGAAATTAAATTGTGTTACGATCTTGATTAATTTAACTTGAAATCTAACGCTTAACCAACTATAAATGTGTCTATGAATATGGATTTATATTTGTACGTGTGTGTGTATGTTTACAGCTGTATAAAAGTGCAAAAGTTATAATTTTAAACAAATCCATTGCATACTCTTTTCTTATGAAGCGCAACTTTGTACGGAGTCAATACTCGAGAGAAAGTATCGAGAATTGTGCTTGCCCACGCTGCCAGCCCTCGATATATAATTGAACTTTAACAGTTATTTAGTAAAATGCTGGTTAAAATTAATTGTGTTTTCGGTTTTAATGAATTTAACTCGCAATCTAACGTTTAACTAACTATATAAGTGTCTATGAATATGCGTTTATATTTGTTCGTGTGTGTGGTGTGTATGTTTGCAACTATATTAATAGGCAAGTAAGTGTAACATAATTGGTTTAATATTTTCATAGATTACCACTACAATTTCAACATTCAATACAATACTACAATATTATTTATATATAAGAACTTATTTATGCTACGTAAAATAGATGACATAAAATAGTTAAAGCAAAGTTTATGGCCGCAAGGACCTTAGCGTGAAATGCGGGCAAATGCGGTTAATAAGAGAGAAAGAGAGAGTGTTTAAGTAGTACCGTTGTTGTTAGTGTTGCCAACTATTTCTGCAATAGAGCTAGCTTGGCAACACTATTAGTACTTTTTGGATGGCAAACATTCCAGATGCAAAGATCTGTTCACAAATCATAAGGAAGACTATACCAGAACTGATTGCAAGATAGCGTGTGTGTGTTTGGTTGTTTTTGTTTTGTTGATGAAACCTAGACGAATAGTTCGATTTCGTCTCACAAACGTTTGCTGCCGGTGCGCACAGCACCGCAGCCGCTGCCATCGGACCAGTCGGAGGAACGCTCCGCCGGACAACCGCCGCCTTCATAGATATCCAAATGTTCTCGGGAGCGGCTCTTCGACTTGGACTTGGCTGCAACAGAGCGCTGCAGCTGGTAGCGATCGTTGATGATCTCGTAATGGGCCTGGGCATCGACGGCCGTGGAGCCAGTTCCATTTCCTGTCGTCAGCAACAGCTCGTGTATGTTCTTGGTGGAGCGGCGATGCGCCTCCAGGCACTGTGACTCCGACGAGTATGGAAACGAGGCCACAAAGTTGGCAGCCGATGTCTGTGAAACTGGCGGATCGCTGGCAAAGTTGGCGGGCGGCGGTGGCAGCGGCAGCTGCCCCTCACCTGGCGTCGATGGCGACAAGTCTGTGAACTCAGTCTTCGCCTCCGAGTCCACCGAGCACATGCTCTGCCGCGAGATGTCCTTCTGCAGCTGTTGCTGCTGCTGATCCAAAGCGGCGCTCTTCAATGTCGGCATGTTCAGGTTGGAGCTTTCGTAATCATCCTCCAGGCGTGTTTGCGGAATGGGTAGGCGACTGCGCACCGAATGCTCCCGTCTAGCAAAACGTTGCGCAAGATAATCCTCATTGTTGTTGTTGTTAGTGCTCTGGTTACTGCTGCTGTGGCTGCAGTTGCTGTGCTGATGCTGATGATGCACTTGATGCCGCTGGGCATTGTCGTAGTAGTTGTCGTTCTTTAGGGACATGTTGCAGCAGCTGCTCACATCCGCAAAGTACACCTCCGACTCAGCACCCTCCAGCATCTCACCCGCAGCAGCTGTTGGCGCCGACGGCGGCGCCGCTTGACCCTTTGCAATGGCCCCGTTCGAATCCTGGTAGCCACTGTTCTCCACCCCGATGCCCGCTTGTGGCTGCGCTTGCTGCTCGGCTTGTTGCTTGGCGGCCACCTCACAGGCGAACACCTGCTGTACATTGGGTCTCTGCTGGCTGGCGTTGTTCTGTGGACCGATGCTCTTGGCGCCCGCCTCGATGCGCTTCTTCAGCTTGCGTGTGGGCAGCGTGTTGGAGCACCGATCACGTTCCCAGCCATTGCATCCGTCGCTGTCCGAGTGCGTATTCTCATATTCACCATTGCCCACGGTCGTCTTCGCTTTGTAGGCGGCGCTGCGTACATTGCCCACCGATGCAGTGGCTCCGCTCAGACCATCCATGCGTTCCAGCGTCGCGGACTGACCCTGATGCTGGCCACAGGCACGTGACTGTGGCACCAGCTGCTGGGGCTGCTCCTGCTGCTGCTGTGGCATCAGTGCCGTCACGGTGGGATTGCCCGGCAGGCAGGTGCCCGCCTGCAAATATTGATAGTAGCCACGTCGTGCTGGACTGTTGGGATCGCTGTACGGCGGCGGTGGACCCCAAACGCCGTAAGGCAGTGCATTGGGAGGCGACAGCGCGTTATAGTTGCCGCCAACCACGACAGGCTCCTCGATAAGCATCTGATTGCCATCGGCAACGGCGACGGCCGTCGCCGAGCTGAAGCCGTACTGGGAGTCCGGGCTGGCGGCAGCTTGTCGAAATCGTCGTGTTGCGTCCGGCGTGGTGCGTTGCCATGGCATTCTCGGCCAACTCCAGCCGCTGCTGCTGCTGCGATTGGCGCGATCACGTCCATTGCGACAGCCGCTGACCGTCTCCTCGCCGCCCGGATTGGGTGAGTAGAAATTGCCCGGCGGTTGTGCCGCCCAGAAACGTTGCTCGGCGCCAGCTCCTCCGCTGGCGGCGACGGCTGCCGCTGCTGCTGCGGCACTCGCCTCATCCCACGGATAGGCTGTTGCCTGCAGCGGCAACGTAAGCTGGCGATGGGCGTGGCACTGCTCACAACAACGACAATTGAGCATGCGACCCGGCGCGAGTCCATGTGGCGGTGGCGCCTGGCTGGCATATAGGGATCGGCAGCGCAGCTCCAGCTGCTCCCAGTACATCTTCTTGCGCTCGTGGCTGAGCAGCTGATAGACCAGCATGCAGCTGAACACGGCGATGAGCACGCCGGCCACGGACAGGCCGAAAATCGCGCGCAGGCAGGAGTAAAGGGAGCCGTGGACGACGCCGCAGTCCGAGAGCGAGTCGAAGACCAGACGCACGCCTTCTGAAAGAATGTGGGTGAGTAAGGATTGGGCCACTGGACGTCCGGACGACGCACCTTTACCTTTGTCAACGCGATCCACGTGTGATTCAATGAGATCCGAGTAGCAGGTGCAGGTACGCGTCTTCTGCGCATATTCGCATTCACGCAACGCCTGCAGCCGGCTCATGTGGAGGACGGTGGTGGTCACGGTCACCAGGGCGCAGGTTAAGGCGGAGACAAGGCCACAGGCTCCTGACAGCTTGATCTGCAAGAGAAACGAACCAGGTTCAAAGCAGGGCTAACATGGGAATTAAAGCTGGACTCACGAGATAGCTATATCGATTGCGACGACGCGCCAGGCTCATAATGCAAACGCCCGTGAGGATTAGCTGGAAGAGAGAGTGATTAGTGGTAATGATGATGATGCAGTAGATGGTGGTACTTACCAGCGTGGCGGGCACAAAGGTGGGCACCGTTTCAAAGTTGCCCACGGTTATAGTATAGGAATGGAGCAGAAAGTATACGCCCAAGAAGAGCACGCCCAGCAGGCAGCTAAATCCGCCGCAGATGAGGCACCACACCACATACTTCTTGATCCCAGCACCATGGCGATGAGCTGAAAAAAGAGCAAAGAATGCGTTGAAGACATGGCAACAACACATCGACGTATCCCATCCTAACCCAGCGAGCCGCGATGATGTGCCTCTGAGGCGGATGTGGGTGGCGGTGCGGGTACCCAGGAGCACGGCGGAGGCATGCTGTATTGCACGAACTGCATCACCGGATAGCCATGCATGTTGCCAGGTGTTTGGAAGTCCCAATTATTATAATTAACAATCAATTATCTGGAACAGCTCGCGTTACATCTCGAATTCCCTCAGAATATTGCTTTCTTCGATTGTTTATACATTTATATAAATATATATATATATATATATATATATATATATATATATATATATATATATATATATATATATATATATATTTTTTTTTTCACTTCTCGGAAAATATCTACACACAAGTCGTTCAGATGCCTCAACTGGCAGCTGCGCGGACTGGGATTAAATGGGGTAAATGGAAAACGATGCGGAAGCTGCGCCCCATCGAGAGCTCGTTGCAGTTGCGAAACGATGTCAACGTTAGTTCCAACCACCAAAAACTGCTGCAGTCACGGCTGGGAGTCCAGTCGAGAGAGAGAGAGAGAAGGAATTGCGCAGGCGTCAGACTAGTGTATGAGGAGGATGAAAGGAATCCATGCTCGAGTGAATGCTGTCAGGTGAATCAGTTACGAAGCGCGATGACAATCACAGTAATTGGGAACTGTGATTTTTATAAAAGGAGGTCTTCTTTCTGATGCCCACAAAATATATTTATAACTAGCCGGCCGGCCTTGCCCGTGGCAAGTTTTGTGCTAAAAACTTATTACCTTTCCACTAAGTACACGCCCATGGAAAATTGAAATCTACCCATCTTGATCTCCGGAATCAACGATTTCCGCATCAATTAGTCTTGCGGTGAGAATCTAGTAGCTGAAGAATATACTCTCGTTTCATGCAACTGTTTTCCCAAATCGCTTAAACACGTATTTATTAAGTTCTTATGTAGAGCTTCGAAAATCGCATAACAAATCTTTGAGTCGCACTTTCCACCGAGAAAGCTTGGATTCCGCGAGAAGTGTGAAACACTTCTCAAACTATTTTTGGTATCAAATCTTTGACTCCCATTTCCACCAAGGAGGAACGGAGTTTCCAAAAAGTGCGAAACACCCGTCAAATGAAGTTGAACAAAGATCAGTGAAAATAAGTTTGAGGCCGATCAGATGGTAAACAAAACAGTTGCATACAAACGTTTTTCTCGATTCTCCACACATGCGGGTGGAATTTTTCGAAGCCCCGTCTTAACGTGCACCTACATCACATAAGGTAACCGCAGTGAAAATTTTAGCTTCGGAGATCTTACGGTTTTGGCTGTGCTTTGATCACCAATCAGTCAGACCGTCCGTCAATCAGTCAGTCCGTTAATCAGTCAATCAGTCTGTCAGTTATACAGTTAGTCGTTTAGACAGTCAATCTGTTCGTCAATCATTCAGTCAGCCCGCTAATCAGCTTGTCAGTCAATCAGACAGTCCGTCCACCAATCATTCAGTCAGTTAATCTGTTCGTCAATCATTCAGTCAGTCCGGTAATCAGTCAATCAATCAGTCAGTTAGTCAATCAGTTGGCTGACTGTCAATCAGGACACAGTTTTCTAGAGACTGTAAGATTCCCATCAAGTGGAACACTCACCTATAGAGCTGTTCCCGTTGCTGCGTGGCCTGGGCGGAGGGCGTGGCGGTAAAGGTGGACGATTGTCATCCAAGCCCTGCGACTTAGCGCCGCCAGCTCTGCCCGAGGCAGACGTAACAGCCGCAGCCGCCTCGAGTTCCGTGTCGTGGTAGATATCATTGCAACTGTCCGTTTTGGAGGGCAGCTGGTCCGTTGCGTTGGCCACACAGGCTCGGGGCTTCTTCTTTTTGATCATGGTGCTGTTATTGTCGGACTCGCTGACCGTAATCTCGTCCGCACCCAGCATGGCATCCGCGATCAGGCTGCGTTTGTGCTGCTGCTGCTGTTGGGATAAGGAGCTGCTGTTGGCGGCGCATCTGCACTCCAGATCGCAGTCGCATCTGGCCGGGTCGAATGGTAAATTTTGCTGTGCTCGTTGCTGCTGCTCCTCGTTGGGCAGAGCTTGGTACGAATGATTTAGCAGCGACTGCGCCGATTGTGTCTTCAGCGCCGTCTGCTGAGCTGTCGTCGAGGTCTGCTGATGCACCAGCACGGCCACAGCCATGGATGCATTCTGCTGCTGCTGGGTTCCACTTGCGCGTCCGCAGGAGCAGGGGCACTGACATTGCTGCACAGCATCCGCCACCGATGCCAGGCCAATTGCCTGTTGCTGCAGATAATGCGCCGGATATTGTATATAATGATAGTGATGGGGCGCTGCTGCCTGGACAAGGCTCGACTGCGAGGCCACACGTTGCAGGGATGCCGAGACTGAGCCCGAAGTTGGCTGACTGAAGGCGGCGTCCATTGCTGAGCGGCTCGAGTGGCAACTTGCGCTGACTAAACCGGTTTGACCCTTTGGCTTTAAATGCTTTTTAATGCCACACTTAGAAACAAACTCTGGTTGAGACGAAACATGTTGACCGAGAAGGAACTTTGCCGTCTCACGCTGTCAATTTCATGCTCGATAAATTGACCAAAATTTATTGCCAATGCGGTTATTCGAACCAATCCAAATAAAAAGCTAACACAAGCGAATTAACATTAACAACAAAACGCAACAACAACAACCGCAAAGAAAACAAACGAAGCGAACGCGTCTGAAGTTTAGCGGCGACTGTGGCTTGTTCTTCGATTGAGGATTACTTTGAGCGCAACTCGCAGAAAGAGAGAGCGCCGTTTGAGCTCCATAAACGAAATGAATGCGTGTGCAGTTGAGCGGCGACTGTGGCGAGGATTGCTTTGAGTGAAACTTGCAGATCAAAAGAGAGACAGAGCGCCGTTTGAGTTACAGCCCACGCTCCCACACACATACACATGCACAGCTAGACGAATGAGTGTGAAGTTTAGCGGAATGAGGAATGATTTGAATGGAGCGTGCAGATCAAAACAGCGAGAGAGGGAGCGCACACAAGCACGCACACAGATCAACAAAGGGAACGTGTGTAAAGTTGAGCGGCGACTGTAGCGAGGATTAATTTGAGTGGAACGCGTAGTTCTGAAGAGAGAGACTGAGAGAGAGTCATTTGAGGACACACACTTTTATCATGCACACACACTCACACACACAACAACCATACAGTGCTATAGCTGTAAGAGAAAAATCGGGAAAAGGTGCGCGCTTTAACTTCAAAAGAATTCCGGTTCTTGTTATTGTTGCTGTTGATTTTTGTTGTACTGATTCAGTAAAAATTCTGAAGGTGTAGTCCAGAGCAGCGCAGTGAAAATCAATTTCTTTGTTTGGGCCTTTTCTGTTGTTGTTGTTGTTCCACGTTTAGATTTTGTTACCTGAGCTGATCCAAACGAAGAACTTGTTGCTGATGAGTGCCACTTAAGCATATGAGCATGAGGTGTGCATGTGTATAAATGTAAGGCAACCTGTAGAACCAATTTAAATGAGCAACGGCTAAGACTACAGGCATAACTAACTAAAAAGGATTGTTTGAATAGATTCAATCCTTAGAATTGAACAAACTCTTAATAAGGTAAAAGAATGTATGTAACTGTTAGTTATGAATTATATATCTGTCCCTCAAAGTGAACTCGTTATTCAGGAAATTAAACAATAAGCAGGGTTGAAACTGCACGTCCGTCCGTCCGTATATCTGTCTGTTTCTATACGTACTAGTCTCTCAGTTTTAAAACTATCGCTTCGAAATATGTACATATGTCGGAGCCAGCTGGATTAGACCACTTTCTCATATAGCTGCAATAGGAACGATTAGTTGAAAATTAAGTTGTATGAAAATCTTTTTTGTTTATCAAGATACCTTAACCAAACTTGGCATTTACTAGTTTCCATATGCTCCCTACATTTACGCCAAATCTTATATAAATCGGACAACTATATCAACAACTTTTTGTCTATCAAGATATCTTGACCAAAAGGAATTTATTAGTTTCACTATGCTCGTTATATAAGCAAAATCCTATCAACATCGGGTCACTATATCATATAGCTGCAATAGGATAGATCGGTCGAAAAATAAGTTGTTGCACGGAAAACATTTTTGTGTTTCAACCCGTTATTAATTATTTTCCCTGCGCTTCCGAGATAAAAAAGCTTTCTTGTTTTTAAATTCTATTCTAAAACTTACTCTCTTTGGCGAAAAACACACAGTAATTTATTTGGTTATGGCGCCTGTACTCAGAGAGTGAAGCACACGCCCACATAAATCGGTTGATTATGATAGTTATTTTTAAACGATATTGATATTTCCGCTACTGATAATGTTCTACAATTGAGTACATTAATAAAGTACAAACAGACATTCTCCATTCTTTTGCAGAAATAGTTGAATTTCTCGCTAAAATCAAATCATAAACTGAATCTAGTTATACAATTCCGTATTGGAATGCAACTGAATATATTAAGGATTTTGTATGTTAATAATAATTGTAAACAATAGTTTCATATAATCGTATATTTGTAGGCTATGAACTAAAGCCCATGCCCATATTTGGTGCTTAAGTAATATACAAAAGTCATTTGCGCTCTCTGGCTATATACATAAGTTATATATAAATATTGTGTGTTTTTGTGAATCGATTAAGTTTTCGATTTATCAGAGCAGAGCAGAACATGATTAGATAAGTACATGGATTATACACATTCGTGTTAAGCTAGATGGAAAGGGGGCAAAGGGGAAAGGGGTCCATAAACTATTTACACACTTTAAAGCGAATGCAACCAATTAAAAGATCTTGCAGAGCAGGAACAGCTAGCTATATACATATGGGTAGCGGGTTCTGTCATTAAATAATAAAAATTATCACAACCGAAAAACCGATGCAACAGTCATGGCTCGAAGGGGCGGGGCCATATATATACTTATATATATATATATACATGTATATACAAAAAAAAGATATAAATATTTATGACTTGACCGTCGCCGATAAGGAATGCACCAGCATGGCAAAGCTGCTGATGAGAAAGATGCTCGCCGGCAGTGAGGACAACATCCTGTAGTTTTCCTCGGTGTGGGTGCGCGTCTTCTTCTGCTTGATGACCCAGCCCAGGCTGCGCTCGACGGCGCGCTTCCATTTGCCATAGCGTTCGGCGCGCTCGTGCTCCGTTGTGGTGGGCAAAAATGTGTCGTAGTGTACGTTCTCGTAGTATCGCTTCTCCGGCTCGAATTTGCACAGATTGATGCCCTCCGCCTGGGCTGCGCACATGGCCGCACCGAAGGCCGTCGAGTCCATCAGCTGGGAGCGGAACAGCGGCAGCCCCGCGGTGTCCGCCTGCAGCTGCATCAGCAGATTGTTCGTGATCAGCTTGCCGTCGGCATGCAGCTTGTTGATCTCATAGCCGCACTCCTGATGCATGCACTCCAGTATGTCGCGCGTCTGGAAGCAGATGCTCTCCAGAGCGGCGCGCACAATGTGATTCTTGCGCGTGAACTGTGTCAGGCCGATGATGATGCCGCGGGCATTCTGTCGCCAGTATGGGGCATAGAGACCCGTAAAGGCCGGCACGAAGTAGACATCGCCCGATGTGGGCACTGCCTCGGCGTATTTCTCGGCGTCCCGCGAGTCCGGCAGTAGGCGCACCTTCTGCTGCAGCCAGGAGAGCGCATGTCCGGCCACCGAGACGGAGCCCTCCAGCGCATAGATGGTGGGCGCTTGGGGGCCCAGCTTGTAGGCTATCGTGGTGAGCAGACCGTGACGCGAGAAGACGGGCTTGTCGCCCGTATTGCACAGCAGAAAGCAGCCGGAACGATACGTATTCTTCGTCTGGCCCGGCTTCACGCACATCTGGCCCAGAAGCGAGGCCTGCTGATTGCCCAGGATACCGCTCAGAGTAAGTCCGCGCAACGCGCTGCGGTCGGAGGTGATCTTGCCGAAGACCTCCGAGCAGCTGCGTATGCTGGGCAGCATCTCCTCTCGGATGGCGAAGGTTTTCAATAGCACCGGATCCCAGTGCAGCGTCTCCAAGTTCATCAGCAGAGTGCGCGACGCATTTGTCACGTCTGTGATGTGCAGTGCACCTAAAAGGGAGCACAGTTGTTGGATGAGCATCGCTTGGCGAGGATTCAGCTACTCACCATTGGTCAGATTCCAGACGATCCAGCTGTCTACGGTGCCGGCCTTGCAGCGTTTCTCGCGACACGCCTGCCGCACCTCGGGCACGTTGTCCTTGAGCCAGCGAATTTTCAGGGCTGAGAAGTACGTGGATATGGGCAGACCCGTGCTCCGTTTAAAGTGATTCACGTCCTGCACCTTGGCCACAATTTGTTCCACGGTACTGCTGGTGCGTATATCCTTCCAAACGATGGCATTGTAGAGGGGCTTGCCCGTCACCGCATCCCAGACGATGGTCGTCTCCCGCTGATTGGTAATGCCCACGGTGGCTATGTCTGACGCACTAAATCCCAGCTCCGGCAGCTGTTTGATGGCCTCCTCGGCGCATTTGTTAATGGAGGCCATCATTTCCATGGGATCCTGCTCGTACCAGCCATCCTGTAGCGTTATCACGCTAAGTTCCACGCGATGTGCCGCGATTTCCTTGAAATCGGGCGTCGTATAAATCGAGAAGCCAATCGTCTTAGTACCCTCATCGATGACACCCACCAATCCCGTGTGCTGGATAAGCGACTGCTTGCGCAGCTCCTTACTGCGAAACGGGACATCGGCACTGGAATTGGGTACGTTCTTGCCTTCCGTCATGCTAGCTGCAAAACAGAATAGTTTACATAAAGAGAGATTACATAAAGAATTCCTATAATACGCGTATCGATATGGCGGCTAACGCTATCAGTCTCGATAAGGAGGCACAAGGTTTCCTCGAGCTGATATGACTAGGCGAGTCAAGCAACCAGTTTCTAAGGTTTCCTCTCTCCGTTTTCTATGCGATACGATCTTAACGTTGGGCTAATTGATTTGCACTACAGCTGTTTTTACTCTATACTCTATAGAGAGGGCACTTACGAAAAGTGTAACGCTTCGTTAACTCACCTTTCCCTAAATAGGATATTTTCTTGCCCGTTTTTCTTATTAAAAATGGAATTTTGAAATAGTTGCGCTTAGAAATTGAATCAAGGTATTTCCCTTTTCTTAAATACTGAATTTTTCTCTTCTCTACATAAAAATTGATATATCTAATTTTCTCTTGACCCAAATATGCCTGAAAATTGAAATGGGAAATTTTAAAACCGATTTCCTTATCCGATTCAAAATTTAATTTTAATATAGTGGGGCTTGAATCAAAATCTTTCTCTAATACTTAACTGTTCTCTTCTTTACTCAAATATTGATATATATATGATATATATAATATAAATATAAATAGGAAATTTTCTTATTCAAAAAGGATATTTTCCAAAGACAATTTTCTTATTGAAATTGAATATTGAAATAGTCGAGCTTAGAAATTAAATCAAATCATAATTCTGAAGTATACGATCTATACTGCTTAAAGATATGTTTAGGATCGCGTTACTTTAATACACATGTGTCATATGTCCGAGAGGGTATTTAATCTTTGGAATTTTAAAAACAATTGTGCTCATTTTTTCTCCATGCTGATGTTGACTTTGTACTCTTTGAGCTGGAGCCAAGCCCCAAAGCTTTGTTGGCCTAATGGTCGAGCCCTCTGCGAGCAATTGTTATCGCAACATTTTCAAAGCTTTTTGTTCACTTTTTCGACAGAGATAAGACACAAATGATCGAGTGATGTCAATTATTTACACGAGCTCATGAAAATTATAAATAAACACTATTAATTTTTTTAATGTTTTTCCTGTTTCTAGCTAAAACGCTACCGAGTCCAAGTTCGTGTCAAAGTCACACGTAAAGTTGAGCAATAATCAGAGTTCTATAAATGTGTACTTTCCATAGTTTTAACATTGATGTGTTAGTTTTATTTATTTACGTTTACAAAAACTTTTGCCGGAGAATTAAGCACTTGTTTATTATACACAAATATTTGTCCGTCTTTTAGACCTGTTGCTACAGTGAAGATCAATATCTTTTCTCGGAATTCCTTATCAGCGATAATATTATTGCCACACCGATTAAACATGGGCTATTAAAAAGGTTTATGTTGTGGCTGAGCGTGGGTTTACCTTGTTGTTATTTTAATTATTAATAACAGCGATAACAGCCACAATGTTAACTCTTATGCCAATACTCAAGAGAGAGTAAAAGAGAAAGAGAGAGAGCGAGCGATTGTTTATTTTGTGTTTCACTCTATATTTATTAAGTGTGGGACCCGCACGACATCCGTCCAAGGCGAGCGCCAAAAAGTATCTGACAGTTGCTCGAATCGAACCGAACCTCTACCCGTCAAATTGAAGACGCGTCAGTTTGCTCACAACTGTATTTATGCACATACATATATATATATATATATATATATATATATATATATGTAGCGAGAACTTTCAAGCGGCGCATTGAAAACAAATAGAACCGACTATTGACACGAACACCCACATAGACACAGACACACACACACACACACACACACACACACACAAACACAAAATGCGAGAACAAAAAACAACAAGAAGAAACTGCGGGAACAGCTGATAAGACAAGCCGGTTGCGGGTTTGGATGTGGTTGGAGACGCGGGATGGGCGGGTAAGAGCTGCCTCGCCGCGCCGAGTGGGAGGTGTGTCGCCTTGACATTTAAAGAGAACACATTTGTTCATCTGGTGAATGGATTCGCTTACATTTATATAGTACAAACCGTAAATATTCGGAAACGATAAGCACTTTGGTCACATCAAAAATTGTTAAGCAATATATCATAGCTGCGATAGTTGTTGCCATAAACTCCAATAGACCTTTGAATTTCTCGCTCATTATAGTCTGTGCAACAGTTTTGTAATGGCATATACCCTGTAATACCCATTTAAAGGGGGGTAGTATGGTTTTAGATCTGGCAGAAGAGGGCATATCTATTCTTGTTGAGCATGAATACCCTTTAGATCTTTTGATTTCTTACTAATCATAATCCGTGCAACAGTTCTTTAGATAGCCTGTTTACCCATTGAAAATGAAGCAGTACAGATTTATAACAGGCAGAAGCAGACATATGTATTCTTGTATAGCATTAAAGGTCGAGACAATCTAACCATCTAATCAAATCTAACCATCTCCGTCTGTCTGAGAAATGAGAAAAATTAAATTCAAATGTATCGGCGCGGGGCAAAGGGTATCTCATGACATAAGAACTTTATCATGTTGGTTCTTTCAAGGAAATGCATTAAATGTCATGCTTTTATCTTAATTTTCTTCTACTTATAATGACACATTTTTGCATATTTAGTTGCTGGCAATAGTTTTGCATTTATAAATATTTTGCTGGTGCACCAGAAACATTCAAATGTAAATATTTAAATTTATTTTAAGACAATCTATGTAAATATGTTTCTGCTTGTGCGTTCATTCAGTTTCTTGGTCTCGGAGCTCTAAAAATAACGCAAATATTCAAATTAAGTGTCAACAAAATTAAAAAGCCAAGCAAAAATATAAAATGGAAATTTCCGAAAACAAAAGTCGCTTTTGCAACTGATTCAAATTCATTAATGATATATTAAAATGCTAAATGAGCCAAAATGCTGTGTGCCAACAATTGTGACATAAAACCCATTTAAATTAATGCTTATCGTAGGGTATATTAGCTGGGTGCATCGAATGGTCGATACACAATTGTTTTACAGGTCATGCGGTAGTCAACCATGCATTGAGTGATGTGCAATGAGTATATCACCTTTTTGTCAACACGAATAAATGACTTTTATATTTGCATTGTGGGGTAATCGGGTGCAGAACAAAGTAAACAAACACCTTTTTTTTACGTGGCATCGAGTATATTCAAATTGGAACATGAAAAATGCAGGTACATGCAGGTAATAAAGCTAGAGCCATTTTCGCTACGCTGAACATTGAATACCCTTGCAATTTTTCATAATGCTCTTTGCTCGTATCTAAGAAGCATAGAAAAAATAGTTATTGCTGAGTATGGATAAGGTATCTTGAAAACACAAATGTTTTTCATACAATTACCTATATATATGTACAATAACCTATATGATTTAGTAGTCCGGCATAAACAAGATTTTGCAAAAATGTAGGGAGCTTAGTGAAACTTCTAAATACCGAGTTTGATCAAGATACCATGGTAAACAAAAACTTTTTCATGCAACTTAATTTTGGATTGATCGTTCCTATATATGAGACTTATAGTAAAAACAATAAACGCAAAGTTTTGGTGATATGTTATCAAAACAAAAATGTTGTTCATATCAGAAGCAACTTTTCGACCGATTATTTTTATGGCAGCTACATGATATAGCTGTCAGATCCAGCCGGTTTCCACATACATATGTAGTCTGGCATGGCTATATTAACTCGGCTCAACTGATCAAGAATATTTATGGGGTCGGAGATGTCTCCTTCTATGCGTTACACATTTCGAGACAAGATTATAATACCGTCTGTAAGGGTATAATATAGTGACAAATCGTTGGGTCAACAGACCCTGCGACATGGGCCATTACAGAGCCTGATAATCTTTGGCAACGGTTGATTGCGACAGCAATCGTTGTACTGATTGTTACTGTGCCCGCTGACGGGAACATATGCTGATTGACTGATAAGCTAATTGATAGAGAGCAGACAGTTCTCACACAGATCGATTAGAATCATCAGCTTATGTTGGCTTTGGTTAAGGTCAAAGGTAACACACTTTCCTATTGACAGTCTTTCAACTGGCGCCGTTGGTTTTTAATCAGCTAAACAAATTGCACACGCGAACACATTTATAGTTATAATTATATGTATGTATGTACTTTTCGTCTCGTCGAGTACACACCCTTGAAAGGACGCAAGTGCGCAGCAGAAAATGCAAATAATTACGTAAATTTGATTAACAAACAATTATAGCCGGCCTTTAAACAAATCAAATGTCTACATTAATTATTTAGTTCCGCGTGCTGTGACCGCTCGCACTGTTGGCGACAAACTGAGCTGAAATGTATTAATGACTTTGCAAGATTGGCCATTGACTGATCTATATGCAAAAGAGAATGGCATGGAGAGAGGGAGAGAGAAAAGAAGCAGCTGTAGCTGTAGCTGTCAATGCAACGTAGGTACATAGGTGAGCAGCACGTGATGCTCAGCCGCCTACAAGCTCAACAAAATCAATAGGCGACACATATACATACATACGAGTGTATATGTATATGTATACGTACACCAAGTGCCCGTGGACAAGCCCCTTAAAGCTGTTCGGCGATTGGTCGTTTTTGTTTGCACTTATGACGTCACAGATGCAAACAGATATTAAACAAATGTTTATCTTTATTGCATGTTTACGTTTGTGGTGTGTGATTAACACCCATTTATCTAACATCTTTCCATGTTTATATAAAAATGTGCTTCCTGATATGACTTTAAGCACTTCTTCACTTATTTACACAACCGATTTTTTACCACGTGCACGTGCACCGTACTCACCCTATTAATAATTAACGCTGGATGCAGCAGCGCACTATTCCTTAGCATTCACGATTAATCGGGAACGCTTTGGTAACCACCAGCGGCTTTTATGGGCAACGGTAGCCATCAGCAATTCAAGGTCCAATAAATATTCCTGGTGTCTCCCAATCCCTTTAAGTTGACTGACGAGCCGAGCCCTCTTATTGTGTTTGGGCATTGACAATGCCAGGGCTACGTAAACAACTCACAGGAACGCTAGCGTTCGAATTGCACAACTGTTCAGCCACCGTTGCAAGAAACCGTTTTGAGCGGCAAAAAGAATCGAATTCCAAATGCTTGAAACGTTTATCAATGCAAGTGGCATTAAATGCCTTACTTTATCGCTATTTGGGAGCTAGCACCGATTATAATACCAATTTGACGTAGAGCTTATCGTCGGACATATTTTTGTGTGTACATCGAGTAGGCTTTTATCAATTATCAATAGAATTTTTGTTGACGCTGCCAAGCGAAATGGCCCGTCAGTATCCGGGCAATCACCATGGCCAGCGAACGAGTTGCATTGGCGAGCTACGATATCCCCGAACAGCATATTGATAAGCGTTCTTGGGAGTCAATCGAACAGAGCTTCGCCTCACTTTGTGTAATTTTAGCCAATTTTTCGGGCATTGTGCTGGCACGTGTTTTATCCACTCGCCCAAATCCGAACATATGCTACCTTGTAGAGTTCGCATTGATTGTGGTGCCTACCGTTCTCTTTGTGACGGTGGCCAGCAGTTATAGTGTCCATTTCGTGGCACTGATGATGGTCCTCTTATTGTTGTACCTTCTACGTGCGCGTCCACTGTCGCGCGCCAAGAGCCGGGCCCAGTTCCAACTGGGCACCCGGCCATTCGTGCTGACGTTGATGCGGTCCATGACTCACCTGATCACAGCAATTTGTATACTCGCCATCGACTTTGCCAGCTTCCATCGACCCTACCGGAAGAGTCGACTCTTTGGCGCCCAGCTGATGGATACCGGCATTGGATTGTTTGTGGTGACCATGGGCCTGGTTTCACGCCGGCCTCGCAATTGCGCCGACCTGCGCCGTAGTATTTGGCGCTCCTCATTGCCGCTTATTCTACTCGGCATAGCACGGGTCGTGGCCATCCTGATCGTTGGCTATGGCCAGGACGAGCACGAGTATGGACGGCATCTGAATGCCTTTTTCACGCTGGGCCTGACGAAGTTTTTCGGGAGCCTCTTCTGTTTTTTGCCCCGCAACGACACGCATTTGTTGCCCCTGGGACTCGGTAAGTTCTCTAAGAAATAACAATAATTTAACCTTAACTAATTGCATTTTCCACGCTGCAGGTCTTCTGGTCTGTCATCAACTAGCTTTAACTCTTGGGGGTATATCTGAATACGTGATGAACGAAGATTTGCCGCGTTCCACGTTTGTGAGCGCCAATCGCGAAGGTCTCTTTTCGCTGCCGGGCTTCGTGGCCATTTACCTGTTATCCATATGTCTCAGCCGCTGGCTGGTGTCCAAAACCTCGCTCAGCTACAATGAAATTGTTGGAAAACTGCGGAGTCTGTTGATCATTTCCGTGCTCTGCTGGCTTCTCATGGCGGGCAGCGCCTACGCCGTGGGCATCGCCCGCGTCACCTGCAACTTGGGCTACGTTTCGTGGATGATGTTCTTAATAACTTCAATGCTGTGCCTAAGCATTTTTATCTTCCACCTGGTCATCGATGACGACAATGAGACTTTGGGCGACATAGAGAGTTTGGAGAAGAGCCCTTTAATCGCGACAGGATCGGGTAATGCCAAGGACAGAGGAGATCTTCTTGTGATATGCAATTCCTTGAATATGAATGGCCTTGTGTTCTTTCTCTTGGCTAATATATTGACGGGCGGTGTCAATATCTTTCTGGAGCCGGAGTATCGCTCTGACCCGGCCTCCGTTTTTATCCTGCTCGCTTACATGTTGGTCGTGACAAGTGTGGCCCATCTATTGTATAAGACGGGTATTCGAATTGCCTAGACCAATTATTTAGGTTTTCTCTGCTGTGATAAGGCCTACCGAAAGTTTATAGGTCCCCTCAAATTTTGTTTGTTTCTATTATCTAGCAGGTGATAAAGTAATCGTGACTAAAGTTCATATACGAATAAATCAGAGTATATAAAAATACAGAACTTTAACTTTAACAAAATGTTTCTGTACATTAATTAATACTAATATTTATTTACATAGATTATTTCTATTGAAATTAATTCTAAGATTTGCAAGTCAATAAGTCGAGTTTTTTAAGTAAGGACAGCCTTAAAACTTCAATATATTTGCTTTGTAATTAGAGGCTAACCATAAAAATAATTTTGTTCTTTCAAATTTAACGACTGGAACAAGGATCGGCTAAGATCGAAAAAAAAACAACCAGTACGTTTTTTAGCTTAACACAGTTCGAAACATACCTACTGACTAGTTCATTTAAACTTCGCGCCATTCGGTTGTACAAATAAGTGAAAGAACGGCTTAGATCGAAAAAAAAAAAAAACAAGTTCCGTTTTTAGCCTATCACAATTCGGTTCATAAGGACTAACTAGTTCATTTAAGCTTCTGCTTTTTTCGCTCCATTCGCGTCGTACAATTGTTTGTTAAAACTGAAGCGAAATATTAGCAAAAGTAATTTAATTTGCTTGTATGTTAGAAAACATTTATTTAATGAACAACACAGCAATCAAGTCCACAGCGCATGCGCAGCACAAAGATGCCAATTTGTAAACAAATGCAAAGTATTCCCCTGCAATGAGTTTCCATGACAACCAAATTTAACATAACTATTTATTAACAGGTGCACAACAAAAGCAGCGGTAAAAAAAATTGGACAGCAAAAAAGCGTAAAAACCAGAAATGTTTGTCTACTTGAGTAAAAAGGTAAATTTACGTGCTTTTACTTTACAAAATTGAAGCTAATTATATTAATGTTTCTTAATAGATCGCGATCCCAAACAATGTGAAGCTTAATTGCATTGCGTGGAACAAGGAGGAGGGATATATTGCGGTTGCCGGGACGGAGGGACTGCTCAAGGTGCTCAAACTGGATCAGGGTAACACAAACAAAATATGCACAAATTAATATTTAATATAAAAATAAAATTGAAGCTGCCAACAATGGACAGACCAAGGGTGGATTGGCAGCCGTGTCCAATCTGTCGATGAATCAGACATTGGATGGTCACAAGGAGTCTGTCAAGGTGGTTACGTGGAACGATGCACAGCATAAACTAACATCCTCGGACGTGGACGGCGTTATAATGGTCTGGATGCTGTACAAAGGCGCCTGGTATGAAGAGATGACCAATGATCGTAAGAAGTCGACGGTGGCCGGCATGAGCTGGACCTCGGATGGCACCAAAATCTGCATTGTTTACGAGGATGGGGCCATTATTGTTGGCTCCGTTGATGGCAATCGCATTTTCGGCAAGGAGCTCAAGAACACACATCTAACTGGAGTTCAATGGAGCCCCGACAATCGTCTAATCCTCTTTGCCCTGGCCAACGGCGAGTGTCACCTGTATGACAACCAGGGCAACTTTGCGGTGGGTAAAGACATCTATATAAATATGTACGCCAGTCTAGCAGCAGCATGTGTGACCCACAGATGAAACTCAACATTAAATGCATTACCCTGGGTACCGCCACGGGTCGTGTGCATCGCATCGGGAGCATCAGTTGGTTCAGCGGCAGTCTGCCGAGCAGCCGGAACCAGCCTGTGCTGGCCATCTGCTATGAGAACGGAAAGGTTCAGATTATGCGCAACGAAAATGACGATGGTGAGGCACAACAATCTGCATTAAAGATAAATACTTAGTGATATATCTTCCACAGCGCCCGCGATCTTTGACACTGGCATGCGTAATGTGGACGCTAAGTGGAATCACGATGGCAGCGTGCTGGCCATTTGTGGGACATCTCTGGAGGCAGTTAGCCCTTTGCGCGACACCAACCAGGTGTGCTTCTACTCACCGCTGGGCAGGCTGCATCGCACGTTAAAGGTGCCTGGCAGCGACATCACCTCGGTCACCTGGGAGGGGAAATCTCTGCGCATTGCCATGGCCGTGGACTCGTTCATTTATTTTGCGAACATCCGGCCCGAATACATTTGGTGCTACTTTGAGAAGACGGTTGTCTTTCTCAACAGCCGAAGCAGCAGCAAAAACAACAGCGGTAGCAGCGCGAGTAGCGCAAATGTCGCGCCCATGAATGTGATCACCTTCTGGAACACGGTGTCGAACCAAAGCTTCCTCAAGGAGGTCGAGCCCACACTGTGCCTGGCGGCCAGCAACGAGCATTGCGTTCTGGGCGTAGAGTGTGTCAGCAGCAACATAAAGGAGATTGCGCTTAGCACGCTGGAAGGCGGCAGCAGCTCGGCGCCGGATGGCAGGGTTTATCAGCTGCTGCTGTGCAACTCCATAGGGACTACCGTGGACTGTACGTAAAGCTTGTAAAGTCCTTCAGCTGTAATTGATTCATTGTTTTGTCTTACAGCTAAATACACGGACATTAAACCGCGTTTCGTGGGCATTAACTCTGGCTATGTGGCCATTGCCTCCTACGAAGAGATACTCATTTGGCACTATCATACCCCAAAGGTATTTATTGTATTATTTTTTTGTTATTTTAAAATTATCATTAATTTTGCTTTCATTCTGTTATGAGTTATAGTTCCATATTCAGTCCTACCTATTGCTAAAGAGCCCTCGATTTTGTTATGCCCTCCCAAGTGGAAGGCCTTCTTCTGACGTGGTGACAGTTGCCCAAAATATACTCTGGCGTTTCGTCATCTTTTCGGCGTGATTTGCAGAGTGCATCTTGCATCTTGATAAGATTCTTGCGGAGTCTGGCAAGCCCTGTAAGAAATTCTGTGCTCAGACACGGTTGGTCAAAGCTGCCTGGAAATCTGCCTAACTTGCTTTTGGATCTCTAGATGAATATTATGCTTGACAAGATATGGCCCGAACAAAAAGAAAGGCTCTGGTTCTTTGTACCCACAAAGTTCTATTATCCCTGACAGGATTTGTAGACATATTGTACTTGTTAGTGTCCGAAACGCAGCTCAGTTGCAGGCAAATGCTTTCTATGTTGCGTCACTTTCTTCTCGTTTCGGTTGAGGCAATTTGTTGGTTTTCTTCCGCATCTCATATTACAGCATATGCAATTCTTGTCCTTTTTTTTGTTACCATTCATTATTAATTTTTTCTTTTTCAGAGCTCTTCGAATCTACATGGGGTTAGGGCGCGCAGGGAAAAGCGCTTTCACATTGATGACACGCCCACGGGCGTTGAATTGGCCAAGGATTTGCTGCAGGGCGCGCAACGAAGCGTCAAGGATCCAATTTGTGCGCTCGCACTGTCCGACAAACTGTTGCTGGTGGCCCGGGAATCGGGCGTCATAAATGAGTACAGCTTGGGCAATGTGTCGCTGAGGAACCGGCACACGATGCACACCAAGATCAACAAGATGGCCATCAACTGCAACTCCACGTAAGTTGGGCTTGTTTCTACCGTGCTCCTCCTCCCCGTCGGCACTTTCTAATTGTTGCTCTTGCAGGCGCGCTGCCATCATCGATCAGATGGGTGTGATGACGCTGCTGGAACTGGACGACAATCGGGAGACGCAGCTGAATTTTAGTCGGGTGGAGCGCAAGGATGTTTGGGCCGTTAGCTGGGCCAAGGACAATCCCTTGTTGCTGGCTTTGATGGAGAAGACGCGCATGTATATCTTTCGCGGAAACGATCCCGAGGAGCCGATCTCCTGCTCCGGCTACATATGCACTTTCGAGGATCTGGAGATCACCAGCGTCCTGCTGGACGACATCATCAGCATTGGGGAGCTGCAAAACGCGTCGCATCTGATACAGCTGCGCGTCAAGTCGTTGCGCGACACGGACGATCTGCTGGAGCATGTGGGACTCGAGGATGCCAAGCAGTTTATAGAGGACAATCCCCATCCGCGCCTCTGGCGCCTTCTCGCCGAGTCGGCGCTAAAGCAGCTGGAGCTGGACACAGCTGAAAATGCCTTTGTGCGCTGTGCCAATTATCCCGGCATCAAACTGATTAAGCGGCTGCGAAATATTAGCTCACAAATTCTGCAGCGGGCAGAGATTTCCGCCTTCTATGGCGAGTTCGATGAAGCCGAGAAACTCTACATGGATGCTGACCGAAGGTGACCCTAATTCCACTTATCCAAACTATTGACTATAACTTATCTTTTTGTGATAATCAGGGATCTGGCCATTGATTTACGCATCACGCTCTGCGATTGGTTTCGCGTGGTCCAACTTTACCGCATGGGCGGTGCTGGGGTCTCGGATCAGCAAATGGAGACGGCGTGGCGCGAAATAGGCCACCACTTTGCCAATCTTAAGTCGTGGGAGAGCGCCAAGGAGTATTACGAGAAGTCACACTATCTAGAGGGATCCATTGAAGCGCTCTACCATCTGGAGCAGTTCGATGAGCTGGAGAAGTGTGTGGATAAGCTGCCGGAGAAGAGTCCGCTGCTTACCAAACTAGCAGAAATGTTGGTCTCCGTTGGTAAGCCTAACGTTCATTATATTTAAGCCTTTACTTAACTTTGCAATGATTGCAGGCATGTGCTCGGAGGCTGTGCAGGCTTACCTGAAGTTTGGAGACCAGAAGGCCGCTGTCAATGCGTGCGTCAATCTGCGTCAATGGGGCCAGGCCGTGGAGCTGGCCCAAAGGTATCAAATGCCCGAAGTAAACGTGCTCCTTGGCAAGCACGCGGCACAGCTGCTCAACGAAGGACGTCTGCCGGAGGCAATTGAGCTGCAGCGAAAAGCCGGCAAGCATTTGGATGCAGCTCGTCTGCTCTGCAAGATGGCCGAGCAGGAGGTAGAGAAGCGTGCACCGTTGCTGCGCATCAAGAAGATATACATACTGGCCGCCCTGCTCGCCGAGGATAATCTCAAGTCGTTGGCCACGCCGCAATTGGACTATGCCATCGATCGCAACCGGCTGCTGGACTCGATTAGCCTGGAGGATGCCGCTTTCGTTGAGCGTCTCTGGCACTGCGCCGAGGGCTATCATTATATGCTGCTCGCCCAGCGGCAGCTGCGCTTTGGCATCATGCATAGCGCTGTCGTAACCTCTATACGACTGCGCGACTACGACGA